CAGATGCAAAATGGCCGCAACAGTTTGGTGGCTTCTAAACATTTTGCGTGTCCTTGAAAATTAACTTTTCTTTTGCCTTCGATCAACTTTTTTCAGTTTTAAACAATCCACACATATATGCCGATGTGTTTTAACTGTACATGGAAAGTGTTGAACCAAAAAGGAAAATGCTAAAACAAAAAAGAATTTCCCAGGGACAAGAAAAATACCGGGTTTGTTTTTTGTTTGTTTTTGTTTTTTGTTTTTGTTTTTTGTTTTGATTTTAATTTCATTATTTTGACGAGCGCTTGGTTTCACCAACCACAGTGCCTCACAAATATCACCAATGTCTGAGCAACAAACAATAAGGTAATCGGCGTCTGTGGTGTAGAAGTTTCTGCAGCCACTTCGTTGTCGCTCACAGAACACTTGAGTTCAATACCCGAGCAGGGATTAATCGAGTATCTAGTTCTTTCTGCTGGGACGTTGTTGTATCCCTCTCTACCCGGGTTGAGCCGGAGACAAAAAAGTAATCATCTCCGGTTGAGCCAAAAGGCAGCATGTGAGTGGTTGGCAGGTGCTTTGGTGTGGTTTTCTCCTTCTTTCTTATCAACAGGCATCTATCGTCCTTTTCTCTCCTTGTTTTTTAAATTGTGTTTGTTACTCTCTTGTAATACCTCTCTAATCTTCGGCACTTATATTATGACCTTATTGTGTAGCAAGCGCCGTAGAACTCTAACTTAAACTTAAGCTTACACTAATCGAAGTCGGAAGCCCGTCTCTTAAATGATCTAAATTAAAACTGCGTGGACGTGGGCGTTAAACAACTAGCCTACATTTAATAACTTACAAATATTCGAGGGGTACTGAGGGAACAATACCCTACACACACAGTTCCCCGATTACCATAACAAAGACAAGCCGTATCACCGAGTGATAGCGTCTTTGCGCATCCGCCGCACGCACGCCGGCCGCCAGCTTGAGAGCGGATATTGTCATCAGTTCTCAGGTAACCTCTGCACATTCGTGCAATTATAATGTCTTCTTCTGTTTCCTCGCTAGTGGTATAGAGAAAAAGGAAATGAAAAACACTGTTCATCGCAGATTGTCATCAGCTTATTAGATAATGTAAATAAAAAAGTGAATATAATGTATTTCAGTAGTTGAATAAATACATATTACGTTGAGATCTATATATTAAATATATCTTCTATCAGTCACAGCCAGGGGAGGTCTTTTCCGTTCATCACGGCTAGCTTTGTGTCGCATGTGTGTGTGTGCGTGGAAGGGGGAGGGGTTCATTAGAAATTATTTTAATGAATCTCCGGTGCGGAATTCGCCAGAAGTTTACATAATGCTTTTGCTTCCAGTGCCATTATCGCGCCAAAGTCTCAGTTCCGGTGGAAAGGCGCGCTAAGAATGGGCAGGCGTTGAAAAAGCTAGTTGTAGTGTTTCCTCCTTACTGTCGTCACATTTCCGGGGGATCTATACGAGTAGATGAACGGAGATTAGCGCGGTGTGATTAACACAGCCCGTGTGTACTACGTCACTACGTCACCACACAGCTTCAGGCTCGTTTTTTCTTAGTAGAGTTTTTACGGCTTTCGCAACTACGTAATAAGGTCATTTGAGCGCCAAGGGGTGGATGTCAACAGAGACGTCCTTACAAGGAATCAGGCTTACCCTGCTCATCTCTCTAGCCTCAACAGCACAAGGTCTGCTTCGACTCTCATGGCACCCCCGGAAATAGCGGATCACAAGAGTGTGACAAACATACAAAAGAAGTACAGGAAAAATGACGATAATAAGGATTAGGAA